TTTTTAATAAGATAACCTTTCTTGGGCTTCTAATTAAAGTTGTAGAACTAACTTTTCTAGTTCTAATAGTGTTTGTTTATTAGTTTATTATTTTGATATTGTATTTTGTTATTTTTTTACTTCAGCAATCCTTTCTTTATTTTATTTATCGGAAGTAAATTACAAAATGCCTCAGCTAGCTAGGCTTATATGCATATCGCTATACTACTATATTTCTGTACAAATAAAGAATTTTCTGATCTGTCTTGTTATTGCAGTAAAACTACAGCCGAAGCCAAGAATTTTACGCTAGAGTATAATTCAGAAGTGACCCACCTAAGTGACAATTTTTCTCCATCCAGGATCCTCAACTTCCTGAGAATATAAACTTTGAACTTTAACAGATGGAAGCACAAACCTTGTCAGAATTGCCACTCTACAATAAAGTGCTGCCAATCTGATAACACTTTCTCATAGAGAAGTAAAAAAGAAAAAAAAAGGGTGAGGATAAAACGAAAATAGTGAAAGTAAGAAAAACTAAAACATATAAGAAAATGACCAAACTATAAAAGAATCTAAAAACTATTCTAAAATCTAAGAGAACTTGTTTACAGATATAAAAACCTGCTATCTAGATAAAAAACTATCTACATGATTGTAGAAATCTATATATAGAGCTATTTAACAAAAAAGAAACTAGAAAATAAAATGTACTTTAACCTGTGCCAAGGGCTAAAAATGATATACATATGACTTTGGAATATTGCATATCTCTATTATATCACTCCAGTTTACAACTCTTATAAAATTCATCTCGAATCTATTGAAAATTATGAAAAAAAAAATGGCAGAAGAAAAGTATAGTTTTGTGAGTTTTCTAACCAAGGAGTGTTGTTTCAAGAGTTCTTCATAGCCTTCTGTTCTCAAAATAACTTGAGTCCTCCTTCTACTTACTGTTTTCAGAGACTCCTCTGGTTTGGATGCCAAATACAAAAAGGAGTCTACCTGAGAAACAAGAGAAAGAGGCTTGACCCCTTTGCAAACCATCCAAAACGCCTGCTCCTCGGTATATCACGTTTGAGACTTTGTTAACAACAGTTTGTATTAAGAAAACTTCAAGTTATTTGTTCACTTTTGGTCTTGTGTCTTCAACTTGCTTTTGGAGACTAGTTGGTACAAGTGATTGTTGGAGAAAATTGTGAGTTTGAATGTGTATTTTGTTATTTGTTATTTTATTATCTTATTATTATTTAGTATTATTTAGTTATTATTAGTAAAATAGAATTTAACAGACATGTGGTATGCTTAATGCTTAATGATTAATGATTAGCGATTAGCGATTATGCTTAGCGATTAGCAATTAGCAATTACACTTAGCAATTAACGATTAACGATTACGCTTAACGATTAATGATTAACAATTATACTTAGCAATTATGATTAGCATTTAACACTTAATAATTAGCGATTACACTTTATACTTAGCACTAAATAAACTACGCTTAGCTGTAACGATTAGTGATTAGCTCTAAAGATATAAAAATTTTTCCAAGCTAATATTAGACCTGCACTGTTCACATTTTAGACCCAGACTTCCTTCTTTCCCAACTTCTCTCTTGTAATATTATAGGATTCTTTATGAATAGAAATCTAAGGATAGCCTATCTTATTCTCTTTAATAAAACATATATTTTATCCATAAACTATTGTCTGCTCGAACTGTCACAGACAGAAAGATATAGTTTCTAGTTGTAGTAGAAATTATATTTACCTGTTGGATATTGCTATAAATCTGTAAAGGATTTCTGTAGCCATGTCATTGTTATAATACTGCTGTTAAGAAGGCCACAGTACTGTAACAGAACGAAAAAAACAAAAAAAGATGATTTGATTTGAATCAATAAAAAATTATATTATAAATAAAGCAAAACCATTCTGATATGGTTTTGTAAGCTAGTTTGATACAATATTTAGTATAGGTATAAGCCTTATCTGATATGGCAAACCGCTCTTGGATACCCTTAGACAGTATTATACATGGACACTGTCCACGCATTTTACTTGTACACAGATATATTTGAACATTGTCAACGTTTGCGTCCGCCAAATGTCCAAAGAAATAAATTGTCTTCGGACATTGTCTACAGACATTGTGTGTGGACACAGACGTCCGGTGAACACTGTCCGCCAGACATTGACCAATGTCCAAGCATTTGATTAGACGATACATTAATGACAGATTAATTTTGGCCAAGTAAGTAAAGACAATTTACCACTCTAGTTGTGCCATTCTTTTAACTTTAACTTACTTAATTTGATGCTATATATTTAGTCAATAAATATAACCATTTATTAAACTAAGTATTTAAAATAAACTACTGTTGATTTTTCTTATGATCGTTCATTTTATCTCAAGGTTATTTTTAAAGCCAGTATTTACCTTAAGAAGTGCTTGAAGTTGCATTTACTAACTAATGCTAGTTTTATAAATTTAGTTCCCATCAGATGTAATTTCAGAAAATTAAAATGCAACAGGTACACTACTAGTTAAATATTTAAATAAGTTGTTCATTTTCTCATTTTATTCTATATTCACTTTGGTTAGTAAGATATTTATTGAATGATATATTTTAAATTAATTCTATTTGATTTCTATTTATAATAGATATAACTATCATCTATCAATCGAGCATTCATAATAAGTTAATTATACCTTATTTAAAATTTCTACACATTTTTATAATGGATAAGTATTGAAAAATTTTAAAATAGTGTTTATTCACATTAATTTCT